TGTGTGTGTGTGTGTGTGTGTGTGTGTGTGTGTGTGTGTGTGTGTGTGTGGTGCTTTGAAACGTTTTAGAAATCAACCTCAGCTGTCTAATGCCAAAGTGCTGCCAGAGTTTAAAGACCGAAAAGATTAAGACGTTAAAGACACACTGAGGTTTCCATTAGACCTCTGATAAACTCAAAGGAAAAACATTTGTTTAGGTGTAGATTTGTTTTTCCCCCCCACATTTTTACAATACATTTTCTGTTTGTTGTCATCTGTGCAAAACAGACAAACGTAAAAAAAAAAACAAAACTATGAATCGTGAGACTAAAATGGTGAAACTTATCTTATATATGACTTTGTTATATGTTTTTTCAACGCTGGAGAAAAATTACTATCAAAATAAAAGCAATATACTGATTTTTAAGCTCTCTTTACAATGTCCCCACACAGCTGAAGCACACCACATTAATCTGAATTAAAAGGAGCTAAAAAACTCACCTTTAGGACCCACAACCAATCCAACAACTCGGTATGGCACCCGCACCTGTTGGGTGGAAATAGCACACACTCAAGCACTGTTTGGGAATAAATGTGTTTGCATGGCTACGTTAAAATTAAAGTTACCACGACGAGCGCCCTTATGTGATTCACTGCAAAGTAGTGTTGGTGAATAACACGATTCATAAACGCAGGGCCTGCTGACCTGAATGGTTGTCTGTCCAGGTAGAGCGGGGGCCCCTAAACCGGTAACAGCTGAGAGGGGCCCCGTTTTGTTTCGAGAAGCCCTGATGAGGGAGAAGTGCTCGGCCGCAGACAGGATCTCCCTCTTGGCCATGGCCACGTCTTCTTTGCGCCCCGTCACGACGAAGACAGGCTGCTCGCCCCTCACCGGCGTCTTGATGTAGGTGTTTGTCTTGGCTCGAAGCGCCTTGATCTTACAGCCTGTGCACAGGGGAAGGAGGAAGGAAACGGAGAAAAAGATTACTCAGTCAGTCTGAAAAATGAGCCAAAAGATGACACAGATATTATTAATTAAAAAAAAAACCCACAGCCTGACTCACCCAGACAGATTCATCGAACGCTGCCCAGACTCTGAGTTTTGCAAACAAAACAATGTGACTACCATGTAAGTGCCCGTTGCTTTGTTGATAGTGAAACAATACATGGTTCAAAATTACCCCCCAGCCAAAAGGTCAAATAAGGAGTTTGGAGGATAAATAAACTTTGATCACCAGCTATGAATAAGCTAAAGTTAGAGCACTGTGTTTTAATCTAAACCAGCTGAGATAAACTTTGACATAAAACCAAAGCAGCTGATTTATTTTGACATGTTCTTCCTGATATAGTTTGCCTTAAATCAGCTACTTCTCTGTGTGTTTTATTAATTCAAGACATAACGAAGCTGTAAATCGAACGCCTTAACATTGTTAAAGCGATAAGGATATAGTAAAACCGAAGATTTTTAGTCAAGCGTGACTGATGCACTTTCATAGCCTCCAAACCATGTTTTCAAATTGACATTTATTTTTTCTTTCTCCTTAGTTTTCATGTTTTTAGCTGTTTAGTGGGAAATACTTCATAATGTAATTTAAACTGAATATATTTAGATTTTCCCCACTAGTTCTGCTGTGAAAAGCGAAAAGCGGGTGCAAAGCTCCCTATGTTTATATGTATGTAGGATTAAAGTAACTGGTTACGATCTGGAAACAATTGCTAAATAATCATTTGTTTTTATTTACTTCTAAAACAGCAGCACTGTACTACAATGCCAGCCCAGTGTTTACATCACTTTCACATAGATCAATTAGGAAAACTGCCATCCTTTTATCCTTTTTCCAACATGTGTGCAACAGGACAAGAGCAACACTTCAGTGCCCTCTTCTACTAAGTCCTATTTCCAAGTCATTATTTCCACTTACGAGTTCCTCAGCTTATGAATTAAATATTCCTTTCAGCAGTGGTTGAGAGTCCAACATCACTTCATGAGCCATTTCCTGTTGTTGTCAACACCACGCACCCTCCCCCATCTCTGCTCTAAAACACTACCTAACAACACTCCCTTGTCTGTCAGCCCATGGAAAGTTTAAGGTGGAAAACAGAAAACAAAAAAGGCTAACGATAAAATAAAAAACAAAAATCCCAAGACGAAAATCTACCACAAACGGGACTAAATCCTCCAGCTGATGTGGCACAGCAATGGTGACCAACTCTGTTTTTATGTTCATCTCCGAGACAAAGACCAGCTCGGTTTAGCGCGGTTGAAGCTGGCCTCATAATTGTTCACGAAACGCAAGCAGAACATACAGAACACAAACAAACTAGCAAAGCAAAAAATAAATATGGTTGACGAAACAGTCGATTTTTAGCCTCTTTATTGTTTACTTTCACCCCTTCTTGACCTAGTTTATTGCCCACACGCTAGCTAGAGAAGCTAAGKGTCGGCTCAGACTTCGACTAAAAACGATGCGGGAAAGACCTACCCTGTCTGCCCACAATCTCTGCGACGTGCTCGGAGCTCGGCACCGCCACGCACTCGGTTGTGTTGACACTCTTCCGCCGGCTCAGAAGCGAAGGCTCGGCCTCGTAGCCCGGTGGCTCCCCGTACACGCCGGGTGGTAGCATCAACACGCTGCTAGCCGGAGGTAGTACGCCGCCGCCGCCAACCCCGCCGTCTTTCAGCTCCTCTCCGCTGTACAGCGCCGTCTCGACATCAATCCCGGTCGACATCACGGAGCTGCTCGCCCCAGACGGGAGGCGCTGGTGGCGGTGGGCCTTCGAAGAATCGTCCGCTTCGAGCTCCTCGTCGTCTGTCGTCTTGCTCGCCTCATCCCCCGAAGGCGGCCGATGGAGCGACAAAGGCTTCAAGTCGAGGACTGTACCGAGGAGGCTGAAATGAGAAACCGAGGGGAGCTGATGGTGGTGGGAGAAGGAAAGACCCTCAACTTCTTGCTCGGGGCTCTGGCTCTGGGTGCCGTGATGCTCCTCAAGGCCCATACCGGCGAAAGCGTGTACTAGCGGCGGTGGGACCTCAGACTCTCCCTCATCGGCCTCCAGCAAAGACGTACTACTGGGCATCATGCAAAACGTTTATAATATGGCAGCTAAACTGAAATAAATATGATTTACGAATGAAACTGACTTTTTAGTTAGAAAAATTAAATAAGCGACCAGCGCCTGTTAACTGAAATGTGTGGCTTTTGTTTTGTCTTTCAGCCCTCCCTACCCTACTGTAATCCCGCTCTAGTTCTCGCGAGAGTTCGTTTTAAGGTCATTAGAGCACTGTTTGAGCATTGTATTATCATGGACAGACTGCTAGTTTATGGGCCAAAATGTCTCGGACTGTGTCTCATCCCTCAATATTAAAGCAAAAAGTGCATCAAAATAACTCGTGAAGAGAAAATGTATTCCCAGCAATAACAACAACAACAAAGTTACACAAAACACACCACATAGATATCAAATACCTCAAATCAGACATAGGGATAAATAAAAGTAAAAAAATAAAATACCCACTACAGTGCCAATAAAGATGTACAAATGACAGAGACAGTAATAACTAAATCATACAAGAATGGTCAAAATAAGTGATCAAAAAGATACAGACATTATAATTCAGAAAATAATTGTCATTTCTAACAAGAGGCAATATGTGTGTTTGTTTATTATGTCCTTCCTTGGGTGTATGGGTGTCTTGAGTCTGGTTGGACAAATGGGAAGCCTTTTTATATTGTGTCCAAACGCCTGGACAAAATAACGATGATTTGTCAAACCTCGACACTAGTTTGAAGGCAGGCTTGTACAGCTAAGTTACCAGACATCACTTTTTAAAAGCAAGCCTCCAGCTTTGTATTGATTTTCTTTAGACTCTTTATGAACCCATCAACAAGTGGAAAAGAAGGCAAACACAGATTCATGCCAATGAAAATGTCCTACACATTTACCAACAATCTGCAAGAGTTTCTTGGCCATATGGGTGACTTGGGGGTAACTTCCATTGTTGGAAGCGCTTTTAATAAGAACATATTGTGTTTTTCTACTATTATAATCAAATTAGAGACATATTGTTATGATAAAGCCAATGCCATCTAAACTTGAACTAACACCCGGACTAATACCTCTTCCGTAATATCCGAAAGAGCCACGTTGGAGCGACAAAGAAGATGATGGGTTTCCCTTTAGTATGCGGACGTGGCCCACGTGATTTCACAAGCGCTGCTCGTTTTCCATTGTTGACCAATGGGAGATAGACAAAGGCGGGACTTAACCCAAAATCTAGCCAATGAGGAGGCACGCTTGGGTTACGTTTCTCAGCTTAGTTGCATCCGGGTGAGGACTTTGGGGTGAGTCGGTATTTCAGACTGAGAACACAATTTTAATGAATTACAGATTGACAGTGTTTTGGTCAAGCTTATCTCTACTGGTCATACATGCGTAAAGATAATATTAGTATATTAACCATAGAAAAATGTTACAAATCACAAGTTAAATTCTGTCATTAAAACGCAAAAATAGCTAGCTAGTTTAGTTAGCTTTAGCTAATAACAACTTGTCGCTGATTCCTTTGGTTTGTCTTTTTCTATTTTCCGTATTTTAATTATCTTTAGTATCCATTTTGATTTCATGTTAACCAGTGTTTATTATTTTAGGTTTGGAGTTGAAGACGTTGGCTCCCAGTCTTCAGGATGTTTGGATCACTTCGTGTGCTGTTGCAAGTCTTGTGGGCCCAGCTGCTCTGTGGTTGGGTGCTCGGCTCCGAGCTGACTTTTGAACTGCCAGATAACGCCAAACAGTGTTTCTACGAGGACATCATCATCGGCACCAAGTGCACATTGGAGTTTCAGGTACTTGTGCCTTCTTTCCAATAGTATCTTAACAGTGCATCCCTGCTAATGGAAAGTTTAGACTTTCAACCTTGTTATAGATCAATAGCTTTTTAAAAAAGCTTTAAATTTACATGCAATAAACCCAATAAAATGTACATGTTGGCATAAAATGGGCTTTTGCATTTTTTGGAAAGAAGATATTTGAAATTTATCAAGCAGTCGTCAGTTAAGTTCACATGGTTTCACTCTGTTCTTGGCATTTTATATCCTAAATTAAAGCTGCCAAACAATTTTATTAAGGAACTTGTACTCTTAATCCCACATTTATTAGGTCGATTGTCGTGCCAAAGTAGGTATCCCTACTATAGATATATAGAATAGCTGAACTTGGAAATGGTATGGGTATCTATTATACATACATCTAAGGAGTACCTCGTTCATTAATAAAGGCACTTGGGCCTTTAAACACTGCCTTCAGCCCAGCTTTCCGTGCTTGCTCCACTTTCGGCCACACAGCCAGTTGTGCTCCCCTGTCTTTGGTGAGGTCTTCAACGAATCGGATGTTGAGCTCTCTGCAGCTGGGGTGTTGTTTTGTGGATCYCCAAAGTTCATCCCTGAAGATTTGACCAGTGAACAGTACAATAACCTGTCGTGGGCAGTTGGTGTTGTTTGGACCAAGGCGTGTACAGTGACTAGAATCATGTCCATCTTCTCTTTCCAGTGTGTCATAATCTGCTTAAGGAGATCCGCAACTTTGTTTTATGTCTTTATCTTTTTCATCTTTTAAACCGTTTATGCGCAGATTCCATCTTTTGTAGCATTCAGACTCAGCCCCTTTTTCTTTCAATATCTTAAACTTTTTTGTCAGCTCTGTGTTTGTGGCTTTAAGTTGTGCTCTTGTTTTATCTTTTCATTTTACCCTTTACACTGCTGTTAAACTCCACCGCCTTGGCGATTTTGGCAATCGAGTACGTGTTCTGTTTCATTCCTTCACCAAAGTTCAACACACAACCCCTGGCAAAAAGTATGGAATCACCAGTCTTGGATGAGCACTCATTCAGACATTTCATTCTGTAAAACAAACTCAAATCAAAAACATGATACAATAATAAGGTCATTCCAAAGTGCAACTTGTTGGCTTTCAGGAACACTCAAAGAAATGAAGAGAAATCATTGTGGAAGTCAGTGAATGTTACTTTTATTGACCAAGCATGGGGAAAAAATATGGAATCATTCAATTCTGAGGAAAAAGTATGGAATCACTCAAATTGGAGGTAAAAAATAAGGACACACCCAATTAATTTCCTTTCCCTAAATGGATACCTGCCTCAGATTAGATCTGCTGTTAGTCTGCAGTTAAAAACACCTGAAGTCATGACACCTTGGAGGGCTGCTGGACGAAGTGGAGTGGCAAGAACCATGGCTGCAACAAGAGAAAAGTCTCTTGAAACAAAAGAGGGGATTGTGAAACTTCTTGAAGAAGGTAACTCTTCACGCATGTTGCTAAAGATGTGGGCTGTTCAGTCAGCTGTATTGAAGAAATGGACCAAATACAAACAGCATGGAATGGTTGTTAAAGACAAGCGTACTGGTAGAACAAGAAAGACATCAAAGCTTCAAGACAAACAACTTAAGGCCATTTGTCTTGAAAACCGAAGAAGTACAACTAAACAGATGAAGCATAAATGGGAGGAAGCTGGAGCCAATGTATGTGACCGAACCGTAAGAAATTGCCTAAAGGAAATGGGATTTCAATACAGGAAAGCTAAAAGAAAACCATCATTGACACCTAAACAAAAAACAAGACGGAGTGGTTCCCAATCCTGGTCCTCAAGTACGCCTATCCAACATGTTTTACTTGTTTCTCTGCTATTCAGCAGGTCTTCAGAAGATTAATCACTCATTCATTCAAACCAGGTGTGTCAAATCAGGGAAACATCTAAAAATCAKAGATTTAAATGTTGACCAACACCTCAAAAGCTTCTCTGAGCTTGATGAGACATTTTCAAAATATAATATTGACTCTGTTTTATGGGTTTTTTTTTAGTATTGCCTCTGGAAGCCATTGATTCTTTGCCATTTAGTATTTGTAAATAATAAATRGTAAAACAAGTACTAAAGCAGTGATTCTCAACCCTGGTCCACAAGGACTACTTTCCTGCATGTTTAGATGTTTCCCTGATTTGACACACCTGGTTTGAATGAACGAATGAGTGATTAACAATCTTCTGAAGACCTGCTGAATAGCAGGGAAACATGCTGGATAGGGGTACTTTAGGACCAGGATTGGGAACCACTGTGGTAGACCAAGAAATACATCAAAGCGTCAAGACAAACAATTTAAGGTCATTTGTCTTGAAAACCGAAGAAGTACAACTAAACATATGAAGCATAAATGGGAGGAAGCTGGAGCCAATGTATGTGACAGAACTGTAAGATATCGCTTAAAGGAAATGGGATTTCAATACAGGAATGCTAAAAGAAAACAGTCATTGACACCTGAACAAAAAAGAATAAGACATGGACTGTGGATGAAAGTTATCTTCAGTGATGAGTCAAGAATCTGCATTGGACAAGGTGATGATGCTGAAACTTTTGTTTGGTGCCGTTCCAGTGAGATTTATGAAGACGACTGCCTGAAGAAAACAATCAAATTTCCACAGTCCTTGTTAATATGGGGCTGCATTTCAGGCAAAGGCACTAGGGAGATGACTGGTTAATTCTTCTATCAATGCACAAGTTGACATTGACATTTTGGACAGTTTTCTCATCCCTTCAATTGAACAGATGTTTGAAGGTGATGAAATAATTTTCCAAGATGACAATGCATCATGCCATAGGGCAAAAACTGTGAAGGCATTCCTTGGAGAAAGACACATTCAGTCGGTGTCATGGCCTGCAAATAGTCCATATCTCAACCCAATTGAAAACCTGTGGAGGAAATTGAAAAAAAAAGGTCCATAAGAAGGCTCCGACCTGCGAAACTGATCTGGCAACTGCTATCAAAGAGAGTTGGCATCAAACTAATGAAGAATACTGTTTGTCACTCATCAAGTCCATGCCTCAGAGACTGCAAGCTCTTATAAAAGCCAAAGGTGGTGCAACTAAATACTAGTGATGTATTTTGAATGGTCTTTTGTTTATCTGTTTTTCATGATTCCATACTTTATTCCTCTGAATTGAGTGAGTCCATATTTTTTCCCCTGTGCTTGGTCAATAAAAGTAACATTCACTGACTTCCACAATGATTTCTCTTCATTTCTTTGAGTGTTCCTGAAAGCCAACAAGTTGCACTTTGGAATGACCTTATTATTGTATTATGTGTTTGATCTGAGTTTGTTTTACAGAATGAAATGTCTGAATGAGTGCTCATCCAAGACTGGTGATTCCATACTTTTTGCCAGGGGTTGTAATTTTCTGTAGATTTTAATTTCAACTGCTGCCAAGATCTTGGCATTGGATGCATTTGAACTAACCTTCTCGTCTCCCTTTGTCGTCTTGTGTGATACTGGAGGTTTGCACAGTGATTTTAAGGCATTTTTTTCTCCCTTTGGCAGTGGTATCCATATTTTGTGGGTTGCAGTAGTCATGTGTTAGCAGAGCCCTGTTAGCTTTGCTGTTAGCCATTATTGTAGTTTTTATTGTTATTTTTCAGGTTTCAATAGACAGTCTTTTGATTTCTGTTTGAAATTCCTTTTATTTGTATTGAGTCAGGACTTCATAGTTTTTCAAATATAGTCTTTTTTTCAAGATTTGCTACCTGGAGCTCTCAGTGCAGCCACTCTCTCCGCCATCTTGCTGGAAGTGTTTTTTGTTGTCGTGTTGTGTTGTGGCCTTTGCGAAAATTGTAAGACACATATCTTGCTTGTGAAATTGTACTTTCTCTTTATAAAGTTTGTACGGATGTTTCTGATGCTAACTAGTTAGCAGCTAACTTGCTAGCTTTATATACAATTTTGCCCCGTCAAAGTTTCAATTTATTTTGGATTGCTTGTTTGTGTTGGTTAGGGTTTTTTCTTTTTGTCATTTTCTGTTTAGTTCTGGTTGTTTTTGTTATTTTTCTGAATGTGTTCTGTACGGTGGCCCATAAGGGTCGACAGAATGCAAAAGCCACAACACAAGAAGACATTTTCCGTTCAATATCTCATAAAATGCATTAAGTACTAGGTCTTCGGACGCCTCCGAAGTTTGTCAAGAGTCCTAGTCTACGGTAAGCAGCAGCCAGAGCGGTAGCTGTAGTTCGCCTCCATTTACCCAAACCAGCTCCAGTCCCACTGGTTTGAGCTGTGGTCCTTCACTGCTCTAAAAGCTGACTCGACTTTTTTCTCCCGGCACTTAACCATCATTTGAAAAATCAGCTCGCTCTGACCCCTCGCGCATCTGTTCAGAAATTATGTCATCCAGGGTGGTTCATGTAGCTCCACTGGCCAATCAGTGACTGCTTCTTTTGGTTTTAACTTAATTCAGGTTAAAAATAAAAGGTAACAGAATTTTAAGATAGTATGTCACTGTGCTGTGACTAGTTGGCTGACAGCATTCCTAAAGGACTCGCTGTAGGGTTTGCAGTATTTTGTATGAGCAGCAGAGGCTTGCAGTCATGTGATGGTTTCATAAGAATTTGTGTGTATTTATACCTTGTACAGTACTTTAGTCAAATAATATTCTTTTTCAAATGTGCTGTAGAAATAAGCTTTAAGTGTCTTCTGCGTTCCCAGGTTGTAACCGGTGGCCACTATGACGTGGACTGTCGTTTGGAGGACCCAGATGGCACAACGCTCTACAAGGAAATGAAAAAGCAGTACGACAGTTTCACCTTCACAGCAGCCAAGAACGGGACGTACAAGTTCTGCTTCAGCAACGAGTTCTCCACCTTCACGCACAAGACCGTTTACTTTGACTTCCAGGTCGGCGATGACCCGCCTCTCTTCCCCAACGAGAACAGAGTCACCGCTCTTACTCAGGTGCGATTATTTTATTTTTATTTTTATATGTTTGTTTGATGTTGGGAGATTCTAACACTATGGATGATGCTGACATGTCACAAATTTTAAGATGAGAAATGTATAAAAAGCAGCATTTTGCTTTCATARCTCTGGCCAGAAATGATTATACAACAAACTGCTAGAGATTGTAAGGTAAACGGTTGAAATTGGATCTTATCCAAATAGATGTTGTGTTAAATTACTMTGAGACATTTATAGCAAACATGTTTACTATTATTGTTTGGATACTCCTGAGTGTAAAACAGGGCATTGATTCCTCCATAATGTTTTACTAATATAATTTATTATTATTTTTTATTATTGTTATTATTATTATTATGAAGTTTTTGTTTCTAAAATAAATCTGTTATATTTGAGTGATTAATTTTGGAGTTATTAATTGACAGATGGAATCAGCCTGTGTGTCCATCCACGAGGCTCTGAAGTCAGTCATGGACTACCAGACGCACTTTCGCCTCCGTGAGGCCCAGGGACGCAGTCGGGCCGAGGACCTCAACACCCGTGTTGCATTCTGGTCTATCGGAGAAGCCATAATCCTGCTTGTGGTCAGCATCAGCCAGGTGGTCCTGTTAAGGAGCTTCTTCTCTGACAAGAAAACCACCATGACTCGTATGGGATCATAACAGCCCTTGAGTTTCTGAATCTGATTCTTGATTTCTCTTTTTTTCCTCCTCTCCTGGCTTCATGTATAGAGTGGATAAGAACAGCAGTGCTCATTTTGAAATTGGATCATATCAAACTGCCTGGTCGTTCAATCTCTCCTCATTTAGTACTGCAGTTCTTAAAAACTTCATGCGATTTAGTCTCGACAGGGGGAAAAGGTTTAACGTATATTGAGGGGTAAAAGAAATGGAAAGGAAGGCTTTGATAGTCATGTGTATATGAGACGGTTCACACTGGTCCTGTAGTTAAAACAACTCCTAAGTTCTAAATGTTTTTGTTTTATTGTTTGTGGCATTGTTTTGCTGTTTATTTTTGTTATCTTTCTGARGATTGGCTCCATTTATCAGCCCAAACTGCAGTTTTTAAGTTGTAGTTGGCACAATACGAACTCGCTGTGGAGTTTTGTCATCTGCAGCTCACTCCATTTCAGTGCAAAGGGTACTCCAAACAAAGGTTTATTTGATAAAGAAAAATCAGTTTGAGAGAAAATAAATAGAAAATAATTTTAAAAATCCAACAAATCCCTTTCCTTTACTTTAAAATACAAAGAACTCCTGTAAATATATATAAAAACAACTCCATTTTCAGTGAAAAAACAGTTTTGTTATATTTGAGTAAGTTATACAGAAAGACCTTCCTTTAATGTTTGATTGGCACAGATGTACAAAAGTGTAGTTTAGATGAATTGTCTCCCTTAAGTGACGCAATTTCATAAAAAAAAATCACAAAATCAGTTGTTGGGTTGACATTTCTGTTTATTTGTTATAGATTCAAGTTTAAAAAAATATTGAATTCAATAGTATCAATATTAATTGAAAGCCAATTTAAATATAGGAGTGGTTTTGCATTTGTGTGTTAAGGTGTGAGGGACAAGAAAGAATTATTGATGTTTTTTGGCTTTTTTGTTGAGACGTTTAGAACAGTTTTAAATGCATCATCTTCTACAGTCTTTGTTTTGTAGTCTTGCCTTTTGCTGTTTTAAAATGTAACGGCATATTTATCCTGTGGGTTGATGGTGTGCTTTTGTTTTTATTCAGCACTGTTGTAAATGTATTTACTGAAAAGTATTGTTTCAACATTTAAAAAAAAAAGCCGTACATTMTGGGATGAAATTGTAATTTGATGAAACTTTCTGCTGAATGATTGAATTGTTGAAATAAATCCGATTCCGACTCAGGACTTCTGTTGCTCCAGTTAGGATTTGTAAATGTAACTCTCATTCTTGATTCTTGCTGTACTTAACAAAAATGAATGTGATGGCGATCAGAGCAGCTGGAAGATTTTTGTTATGTTTTGAGGATCGTGTATCTTTTACATTCTTTAATTGAAAATTATAAAACAAAATGAACACTCGTTTGATTTATTTTTCAGTTTTTCTGTAAGTCTATAGTAAATGTACAAAAACAGGTTTGAGTAACTGATTAGAAACCACTTTTTATACATTTTATTATTTATGGTTTGGCTTTGCTTCATTTAACATAACTCCATACAACTGTTTGCCGTTAGATTTGGTCTGTGGTGCAATGTTGCTAATTTCCATAACTTTGTTTACTAATAGGTCATTTGTGGACGTCTCTGAGACATTGTTGGAATCTGTTAAGTTATTGGGATGGTTAAATAAATTTCTAAACAAATATTACGGTATGCATTCATTCAGTATTTAAGACGTGTAGTCCTGAAAAACTTGGTTTCTGGGTGTAATATATATTTTGTCCAGTAGAGGGTGATATAATCAAAGCTATAAGTCTATGAGGCTATTAGAGCTAATTTGCATTCATCTAATATYTGGGGGCCATGCCAAAAAATGTAGCTTTATTTCAAGTGCATTAGCAAAATATTAATGTCTCATCAAAAACACACCCAGAGTTTTGCTTTGATTCATTCATGTGTGTTTGAGAGAAATCCTTAAATCTGTGGTAACCATGTGCTGCATAAACGTTTGCTGGTATAAAACACTGCCTATTTACACATATGATACAAAGACAATTTTATTTTTGATATAGACAGCATTTTCATAAAAACTGAAGGTAAATAGTTACTTGATCGTGGTATAAAACTGAACTATGAGCCTAAAAATACATTACCACCCCACCACCAGCGCTTTAAAAAAATTAAAGATGAAAATGTGGATTGGCCGTTTTATTTGAGTTGGTATTTAAGTGACTGACTTCACTTTAATACAAATATATTTTAATGCTAACAAAAAAAATGGGGGGGCATTAAGCAAGATTAACACAAATAAGAAGTTTAGGTGGATAGAACACTCAAGAATTAACCCAACCAAATTTTATGCCACAGTTTTTCTAAAAACAAATCAAGCCTGGGTTAAACTCAGATTAACAGAAAACCCATTTTTAGATCAGTGATGCAGCCCCTATGAGCAAACCAGTGCAAAGTACTTGTTCAAAAACACAAAAATATGTAAAACACTGTTGTGCCATTAGTGACAGATTTCTTTTACTAATGAACAATCATTAACTTAAAATGCCTTTTTAACTACAGATCTGTTCTCAAACTGAAACTATGTAATTATTCTTTTTCACAATGAGATAAATTTATATTTATTTTATACATTTTACCTTTTTCAGTACCAATGCTGTCCTTCAGCCATTATTTGTATTGTTTACAAAGGTGTGAGTAACAGTGATTGACTGCCCTGAAACACAGCAGGTTAGGTCAAAGCAGCTTGACATGGAGGTTGATTATTTTATTTTAAATTTATCATAATATTGAATTATCAATTGGTTTTAAAATTAGATTAGATACTAAAAATAGAAAATCTGAACTATTTTAGGGTGTTTATGCTTGGATTCTATTTTTCCAAAGACTAAAAATAAAGCTGAAGTACCTACAGGGGTTGTAGTACCCCTGTTTGAGCACCAGGGGTCTAGATTTTGTGGAAAAGCCCCAACTCTACGTCACAGGTTATCAGCCCTGTGATTGGACGGTGACACGTCAATCATTCTCCCTTGTGGAAAGAAAAGCCTGCGTCGAGGTTGTGATTTGACAGAACCTGAGTCGTGATCATCCGGTTGAACCGTGGGTGGTGAGCCGTTATTTACCATCTCCCTCTGTGAGATTATTGTCGTGTCAGTTAGCCGGGAAGCAGCACACACGACTATTTTTTTAAGGGTGAAGAGCTCTGGTTTTTGCCTGTCGACGTTTACTGAGAGAAATACGGCGCCGACACGGGGGGGTGTCCCCCAGCCTCAACGTCGCTTCTACGGGCTAAGCTAACAGAGCAGCAATACGGGTGGGGGTGGATTTCTTCATCTCGGCCCTCTAAAAGGGGAATATAAATAACCTCAAATGCTGTGAAACTATGCCAAGCGAAGGAAACAGATCTGACGAAGGAGAGGAAACGTCAGCAGCGGAAGAGACTCGGTTGAAGCGTCAATAAAAAGGTGAAAGTAGTTTAGCGCTGCTAGTTGGCTAGCTAAACGGATCGAGGAAGTTAAAGCTAGCCGCCTCGCTAATTTGCCGTCAAATGTATTGCTGGATTAGGGGTCGCTTAAAACGTTGGGGCTAATAGGGGGGAAAGATTCACGTAACTGTTCGGTGATGCCAACATTTTAAGGCTGAACCAGAAAAAGCCTCGTCCTGTTTCATAAACAGGAGCCCAGCTCACTGTTGGCTAGCAAGTCGGAGGTTGTAAACAAAGGGTTCCCACCGACAACACCTCAGCTGGTCGCTGTTTTTGTTCCGCGCACACCGTCGCCTCCTTTTTGTGTTTTTTTAACACCGAAACTCTCCGTCGGAGATGGATTTAAAGACGGCAGTGTTCAACGCAGCCAGGGACGGCAAGCTCCGTTTGCTCCAGAAACTGTTGGAGAACAAAGATGGACACGAAGTGATCAAGCTTATGGGCGAGAAGACGAACGGAGCCACGCCGCTCCTGATGGCCGCCCGCTACGGCCACCTGGACCTGGTGGAGTATCTGCTGGAGTGCTGCAGTGCTCCGGTCGAGGTCGGGGGCTCGGTGAATTTCGACGGAGAGACTATAGAGGGGGCTCCCCCTCTCTGGGCCGCCTCGGCGGCGGGACACCTGAAGGTGGTCCAGTCGCTCCTGGGTCACGGCGCTTCCGTCAACAGCACGACCCTCACCAACTCGACGCCCCTCAGGGCAGCCTGCTTTGACGGACACCTGGACATCGTTCGATACCTGGTGGAGCACGAGGCTGACCTGGAGGTCGCCAACAGACACGGTCACACGTGCCTGATGATTTCCTGCTACAAGGGGCACAAAGAGATCGCTCAGTATTTGCTGGAGAAAGGCGCAGATGTGAACAGGAAAAGTGTAAAAGGTAAGCCAACTGGGTAAGACTCTTAAAGAGTTGATTCGAGTTGAATTCTCTATTTTTAGATGTTTGAATCGAAACTTTTAATAACTGGGAACTGCAGTGTCACAAGCTTTTGCATATTTCTGATGGAATGACTCAACATTCAAACGTGAACTTCTGGTTTCACAATGGAAAAGCTGCAGGCTGTCTTCGTCAGCTCTGATTCTGTTTGGGTGTGTCTTTTAAATATAATATTTGTTCCCTTTTTTAAAGGATATACCAAAGTATATCATTTGGTTTCAAGCAAGTGACCACTGCGGATGTAAATGCATTTGACAGAGCACTTCATGTTCTCAGAATATGTCTGGATATTTTGGTAATGTTCGTGCATTGCAGGGACAGTTTTGCAAGCTGGCACATGTATGAGTGGGTTGGCATACCTTAGTTCCCACCTCCCACGTCTCGCTGATTGAAAACAGTATTCTTGGAGCTTACCTTTTGGCTTGCCTGGTGAACTTGCCATCTGGTAATTGGATGATGCCAACCGAATGCCATTATAGCCATTTTTTAAGCAAGAGGTGTGGCTCCTTTTGTCAAAAGTGATTCATAAATATTCAAGCATAATGTTCATGTCAAAACAAACTCCTTTTTGAACACAAAAGTAGATGCCTAGAAACCAAATCAAAGCTGATTAAATAACATTAAAACGATTAAATAACATTAAAACTTTTGATCTGTTCTCTTTTTTTTAGTTTCACATGACCTGTTCTGTTAGAATTTGGCAGAACGTTTAGGGGGAAACTCTCAAGAGTTCTGGTGCATTATAACATCCCTTTTTGTAATTTAATTATCCTTTAACCTATTTAGTCATTTTGTTGTAAATTTGAGCTGTGACAATTCATTCACTCATTCAAGTGAGTATAATGTTGCTGTTTTCTGTAGATCCTTTGTTCGTAGCAGCCTGTTGCAAAGATAAAACTTGCTCTCGTTCTTTTTTTTTTTAAGTTCGAAAAGAAAAATGGCAACAAAGACACAGTTTGGGAGGCAAACAAATGAATTTCCAATGAGTAGCTAAAAAATAAGACACAGCAGGCAGTGTGCTGTTTTGTTTGGGTGTTTTATTCATTTGCAAATAGTAAAAATTGACTGTATTTAGACTGTATTTAAATGTTTATAGACTATAGACAGTATTTAAATGTTTTCTCCTGTGTGTCCTTATCAGGCTTGAATGACTTGCAGGTTAGCGCTAAGTGGCCTAATAAATACAAACAAACACATGCTTCTTTCTGAAAACCTAAATGAACAAATGTCCTGATGCATCTCAGTAATCCAGGTAAAAAATCAAAAAGAAAAAAAATTGTATAGGTCTTTCCTGAAAGCAGACAGGAAACACAGACAGGARTCCATGCAACCTTCAGGTGAAAATGAAGACCCCAAACCCAGACCCAAACCAGTGGTTATTCCGTATGTTGCGGG